TGATGATGAGAAGTTTCACCGAACAAAAATGAGATGCAGCCGGAAAATATGCGGTGGAACTATATTTTGCTGCGTTGTCAGAACGACCATTTTTGAAAAAATTGACGAAAAAAAATTGTTTTTCAAGCTAGAGTTTGGTGTTGGCATGCGAATTGGTATTGGTAATTACCACATTTTCTGTATGGGGCATTTTTGAAAACGTCGTGTAAGACGGGATTTTGTGAGATTCATGGGTGGAACTATGATTATGCACTATGATTATGCTTCGCAGTGTACAGGGGGGGGGGGGCAAAAAAAAAGTCACCGAGTCACATATCAGCAAAGTTTTCGCAGCCCAGACAGAGGACGTGGATACGAGTACCAGGGCGGAAGACCCAAGATGTTCCTCTATAAGCAGGAGCTGGCTCTCGCCCATCACCTTCATGTACACCAAAATATGAAGTCATCTCCAGTCGCAGCCTGACTGGAGAAGACCTTTGGAATTCATGTCACCTCCAAACAGCTGCGAAACTTCTAGTATGGAGTCACCCATGGATAGCTACCTGGAGACCAGTACTCTCGATCTGGAAGACCTCCAACATCGAGCAGCTCCGACAACGTCGCTACGGTCTAGGACATCATCTTCACCACAGTCGCCAAGGCGCGGGTTGATGGTATGGACCGGACGTACCTGGAATGGAAAGACCAATATTTTCTTCGTGGACCCCGGACTGAAGGTGAGCGCTGGCGGTTACATCGAGCAACTCGTGAAGAATATCCTCCTCACATGTCGTCGCCCGTACCTTCTTGGAAACTTTGTACTGCTACAGGTTCGCCTACTTGGAATGGAAGGGCGTTGAGTACCTGAAGAAGATGGAATATCTAAGCAGGTCACCTGAACTAAACCCCCTCAATTACGGTTCGGGCGGAGTTCAATAGGGTGGTCTACAGTGGCGGAGAAATCAACGATCTCGCTGAACTCAGGTACCCACTCACGGTCGCGTGGCAGAATCTCTCGATGGCGCTCCTCCAGAAGGCTGTGGCGGAGTATCATGATAGTATTTAATATGCTCTTTAATATGGTGGTAGAAATGTCCGATCAGAATTTATAAAGTGTAACTTATAGCGCCTCGAAAGTCAAGGAAGAAAAGTGACTTTTTCTTGGCCTCCCCTGTATAGAACAATTACCATTTACAAGGAATAGACAAAATCAGTTTTGAACAACACAATAAATGTACCTTGACAAGTGTGTAGTCCTCTTTCGTCATACATAGTATGTTCTCCGGCTTGACGTCACGATGTGTGATTCCGCGATCATGGAGGTACTGTAGCGATAATGGAAGAGTGAAAAACCCAGAAGGGGCATTGGTGGTAAAAAGCAAAGAACGATCACCTCGATCGCACACAGGAGCTGCCATCCATAAAATTTGCATAGTTCTTCACCGAATCCCTGAATACACTGCTTTAAGTGCGAAAAAACATACATGAAACTCCCCGAAGCAATAGTTCGAGTTCCCTCTCATGTGTTTTGCCTGCACTTCGTCACTTTTTAGTCACCCAATTTCGATCACTTCTCATAATCACCGAATCAGCAGTATAAGCACAATTAGGACCAGACAATGACTGGATGGCTTTGTCGCAGAGTGAGCAAGGCCGGCCAAGAATTAGGAGGAGCCCTTTCCGAGGTGCCTTCATTCTTAAACCTCCCCTCACGGGTGATATTTTAGGATGCAGAAGGGATATTAGACGAATGAAACATATAACAGTTCAGCCTAGTTTCTGCAAGAGGTGAGGTTTCTGCTAGTCACTCTTAGGTGGGGCTGAGCATTATTCTGGAAAATTCTGACACTGAGCGTTTCACGCTTTTCTATCGCATTACTGCGTCTTTGCTGGGTTTCTAACGTTCGCTGGTACCGTTTAAAGGTAATAGCATTGATTTGCTTGTATTCGAGCGCTTAGCAAAACAGCACGTTTGCTAATCCCAAAGAAACGGAGGTGCAATCCTCTGGGTATGGATTTCGGGCTTTGACTGAGCCGGTGAGTTTCAACAGCGAGGCAGCCGCTAGGTGTGTTATGAGTTATATACCAGACGGCTCGCTGGCTAACGCCGATAGAAATAGGGCCCGGCTTCGCATGGCATGCGCGGCTTTGTCGCGCTTACCTTCTCCTACGTTCTTATACCCAACTAATATCCCACTTTTCTTTTATCTGTACACATTGTCAAACCTCCCTGATCAGTAACATCACGCCTGCTATTTTCAACTCTATTGTCGTATATGGAATGGTGGTTAGGAGCGTTGATCAAGTGGACAGTTGAGAGAAAAGATAGGGTATGAGACTACGCCACGCCGGCCCGGTAAGGCCGGGTCGTATCACACAGGAGACGCGTCGGCGTCAGTCGGCGATCTACATGCTACCAAGTGTACCTAACAAAAGTCGATCGGTGGTTAAGAGTATGGCTGCCGATGCACTGAAGCTCGGTTAAAATTAACTCGTGTATGAAGGCACGCTCCACCCACTGTTGGCAGGTCTGAACACACCACAGAAATACTCAACTCTCGCCACAGTTTCTCTTCTCTGACGATTTTTTTCCTGATCTCCTAAGTCACTAAGGTCCAAAGTATGAAATTTCGTAACAAGCACGGGCCCCTTTCCGAGCTAGCGGACTTCTGCCCATGCTTTAGTGGACGCAAAGAGGTTTGGTAGGACCCCCCCCCCCCCCCATTTCGTCCACCAACCTCTTGTGGACTTCAGTCCGCTTGTTCCTGGTGCATATGCTCCTCTGCGACCAATTCGTGAATTTCCTTCTTTTGCCCGCCAATTTCGATAGCATGCTTCGATCACAATAGGGTGGGTCTATCTCACTCAGTCCCTCTTGCACACCTTTGCTCCCTTCGTGCCGGTGTCTGGAGTGCTCTGGAAACCTGTTACAGATTTTTTTTTCGTGCCCCGCCCCCTCGTCTCTGTCCACAACCGGGACAGCGGGTTGTGCCTCGCATTAACTCAGTCGCTAGCTTTGACCCTCTCGCTGGCACAATTAATCAACTTTTCCCCGTTCTACTGGGGTGCTTTTTGAAACGGAACAACTAATTTTTGAAATGAGTAGCCTCGATGTTCACCGCTCCCGCCCACTGTGGGTCGGCGTCTCAGTGCATTTCCGCAGCATACCAGTGAACTCTCGCCCGACAGTGACACTGTTTTTTCTCGCTCACACGACTTTTCTGCGATCATCTAAACCTCTCTCAAGAACCGAGTTAATGGATGCCGCAGGAAGCACCGTGTGTGTCCCCCGTTGGTCTGCCAATCCTTTGCTGACCTTATTTCACTTTTTCCTCATCTTGGAGATGCTCTGGAGCGTACCTTAATTTCTTTCAGTGAGACCGCCAATTATAGCTGCATGCCATACCAACTGTGGGCGGGGCTTACCATGGGTTAAGTGTGTAATAGTGTGTAATATTGTCCCAGTTGTCTCATAGTAGGTCCTTCTTTCATCGCCAGTAATGCTCAAGGTAGGACGTGCTGCCCGAGCAGTCGGGTGAAAAAGTCTTTTCAGGGTAAAGAAAAGCTTTTCGTGGGTACACAGTGGTGCGATTCATTAGTTGCCGACTGTCATATTTTTTGGATTCCGCTATATATCTGACCCCTACGCAGAGGTGTTGAGAAGGAGCAACTTCCAGGCAGGGCTTCTTCGTAGGGAGATGTGTTCCTAGGTTTCGAAAAGCGAGCTGTCGCTAATTTGCTTGTTTACTATTTCATGACGTCGTCTGGGAGCCTAGCATATTTTTTGTCATTGCCGTTCCGCACTTCTGGACTTGCAACTTGCCTCTATTTGCCTCTTCAGGTGTCTTATCAGGTGTTCTTCACAGCAAGAACCATGAATAAATCTTTCACTAATTAGTAACTGTAGGACATCTCAGTATTAAACTCTTCCCATTTCTGAATGAGCCCTACGTTTACGACTCCTCCCCCACCTCGTTCACGGTCAAATACGACACCCCCGTCGCGAGTTCCACAATGGAAAAGGCGCCGGCTTCATGCGAAAGTGCACACTTCGAAATCTATTTAGCAAAGCGACTACCCTCTCTGAAGGCCGTCTTCCCTATGACTTCAAACGTATAACTGAAAAAAAACAACTCTGAAAAAAACAACTAACCATTCCGTTCCATTTCTCATCCACAATACGATCAAATAGTTCGCCGCCTCCTACAAGCTCCATTACAATATACGCTGTATTCTCTGTCTCGATCCAATCCAGGAATTCCACGCAATTTGGCTGCAACAGGTCAACATTATATGCATGTTAGATCCAATTCTGTTCATTAACTCTCAGCGCCTCCAGTTTCACAGGTCTCTGATACTCGGCTCGTCAAAGTAGAACATTTAGGTGTGGCTGAAATTTGCAAAGATTCCCCTTCACAAATCCTATTAACATAGCCACTATATCAAGGGGAAAACTA